CGTCTAGGAAGTCCAGGAACCGTTCAGGTCCCTCAGTCCCTCCTTGATCAATCACAAACTGTGCCAGCTGTTTTGGTGGCATTTCCTGTAGTTCATGGGCCAGTGTTCGGTCCACCATAAGTCCCATCTCCTCCGTCAGCCGCGATAACAATGTCTCCAAAGGATGTGTACGATGCGACATGTGAGAAAGGAAATCAGAATTAGGGCTATCGCAGCACTCATGGCTGGGCCAAAACGGCTCTCATTCATCTAAAATTTAGACCACCTAGTCCATTAACAGGCCCCCCCCCTTACCAGCATTCTCCCACATTTCCACTTTAAACTTTTCTTTATACCCTTCATAGCTTTAGAAAAACCTCCCCCAGGGCTCGTTTTGTTAGAAACGTATCTGCAACAGTACTTCCAAAACCTTTTAAGACACATCTTTTCTCTTCACATCCTCTCTCATTCTCACATTACCACACACAAAATACTTTTTAATTTTATTATCTATTTAACCTCATTGTAAATCTGTAATAATCTGTGAATGTTGGCATGGGTTCTAGCTCTGTCTGGAGTGGTGTGGATTGTGTTTTGGGTTGCATCGTACTCACCCGCGATAACAATGTCTCCCACTTCTTCTTCTCACAGCTGTACTGGCACCAGTTTGACCTTCACCCTCATTGTTGTCTCCAGTCTCTCTCTCGGTCTCTCTCCACACATTGTCCCTCAGCAGCAACACCAGGAAAACAGTTACTTTCAGGACGAGTGCTACAGTCATTCTGGGAGTGTCTCTTATCAAGTCATACTTCCCTTGTTTTTTCTGGGCAGTCAGTGGTAGATGACGCCCTCTACTTGCACTGAAGTAGATTCACCAGGACCAAAGTGTTCAGGTCTTCTCCTCGTTCTTTTTGCCACCCTCCTCAAAGGATGGTGATGTACACCTGGTGCTCTGGCTCGACTGGCCTCCACCTCTTGACTGGGATCAGATTTTGGCACTCCTCCTACTAATCGATAGATCTTTGCATCGTAGTTAGCTGCCTCATATATTTAATTCACTAATTTTCAGCTGCTCAAGCGAAAAACTTAATTATTTAGCCGCAGTAAAGCATAGCTTTGTAAGTTAGTCAATCATGCAGTGAAAGATTTATCACAGTGCTTTTGATTGTGAAAGCTCATAAGCGCAAGTAGCAAAGCGTCTTCCCATACGTTAGTGTTAGTGCAAATTCTCTGATCAGATATTTACTTGAGAGATTAACTTTCTTCCCCAAAATGATGTACCAAATCATGCAATGACAGATTTATTTTGACTCCAAGATCTTTTGATGGTGTTGCTTCTATCCATCGACTGAACCCGTCATCATTACAAACATGTAACATATCCCTTGGCAGTTTTAATCATGTCCACATTGTCTATGAATAGATTTCTAAAAGCGTCTCTCTGGAACTGGAAAAGTGTCCCACTACTGTTTTATTGTTCTCTTCAATTCATCTAACAAAACACATATCACAATGACCCAAAAGTTTATCAGCTCTCGTCAGCATATTCTAAAAATGTCGTTTTAATTGTCTCATCATCTCCCTCCTTGCACAGTGTGAATCACTGTGAAAGTCAGATCCTAAGTTTGTTTGTTAATACTACTGGTACAAAAACTAGTTATTTGACTCTAAACCATTTTCTGTGGCCTTACTGGCCTTTGATAGCTTCCTATTACTTTTACATTAGGTGGCACATCTGTGAGGAGTGTGTGTGGATTCAGCACAGCTGCATTTAGATTCATCAGTATTAAACTAACAGAACAGGAATGTTACAATGCTAATGTCACGATATTTACTTTAAAACAATAAACCATAACTGTCTACGTACACACCTTGCAGTGAGCACCAAATTTGAATGTTACTTCTACATAGGGCTCTTTGGTCTATAAGGTCAACAGGGTTAAAATTAAAACTAACAATTAACTTTTTCCATCATCCACAAAAATCACACTGTAGTAAGCCACCACTTTCACATTGTCTGGGCTGGGGCCCCCCACCACAGCTCCAGCCAGAGGCGTCCCTGGTCTGGGCAGTTGTCAACAATGTCCGGTACGATCACATCCCCAGCAGGTCTATAGACGTCACACGTCCGTCAGAATTCCACTCTCTCCCCCTGCCGGGATATATCGTCTCTATGGAGCAGGGTTCTGTCTGAGGATAAACATTCACAACAGGTGATTAAACAGGTTACTGTCACAGGTTTTACCGCAGTTAGCGTCTGCACGGTCTGCATCGCTGGGTCTCTTTTGCAGTGTCCCCCTTAGAGGTGGCTGTTTCAACTTCCGCTGAATGTTCTTTTGCTGTTCTTTCGGTCTCCGCTCTTCATCTGGCGGCACCCTCCACATCACATCACAATATGCATTGAACTCACTCCCATCTATCATGGGATTCATCAGCCAACCTTGTTTTGCCTTGCGCAGAAACTCCTCCATCGTCTTAGTTCCCAGCAGTTTAGCCAAGAGTGCTTTCATGTCTGGTGTAGTCAACATTTTCCTACAGTTCATCCTCAAAAACTTGTATCCATCTCCCTGCCCCCTGTTCAGTTTGTGGTAGTCTGGCAATCAGCCCAACAAGGTGTGTGGTTTTCCACGGCCACAATTTCACGAAAACTGTCAATTACCTTTTCAAAACATATGGGACAAAAATAGCAGTGATTACGAATCATTTGGAAATTCAAATGACATGAGTAAATAAAATAAAAAATAAAAATTTTTTAAGGCAACCTAAGAGAAAAAAATTTAGTTTTTTATTCTATTCTTATTTATTAGTTCAAAAGATCAGAGCATGATTAAGAAAAAACAAATAATCTAAAGTATGAAAATGACACAAATCTTTGAACATGTCCAGTACTTCTAGTTCCATATCTCTTGTTTTTGCGTGTTTTACTTTTATCTTTGTGTTTATGGCCTTAGATTCGCTGCTCCAAATCCTCACACACAGCCACATCAGATGTGCCTCCCCTAGGTCATAAAAATTCAAACCCCTTGACTCATTGTTCCCATTTCTTTGTAAGTTTTTGGATATTTTTAAGTGATCAGGATATTTACACCCTACCAATGCAATTGGAGTTAAACTAATCTTCCCTTTCTGGTCATGGTTTTTGTAAAATTTATTATTCAATTGAGCACACACATTAAAACGTGATCCCCAGCAGTTTTTAAAAATTCCCAAAAATACACAGTATAAAGCCTTTGCCTTAACTGCAGTTCTATAGCAATAGTCAGTATTGATATTAACAGCTTCAATAATATTTAAAAAAACACAGTATTTTGGCAAAAACAGCAGATGTATAGAAGCAACTCCTAGATTTGAAGTTTTAGAAGTTTTGCACTTGTGGTACCTCATTTCTTTTTCCCCTTTTTTGTATCTTTTATACTTTCACAAACATTATTTCAGTAGCTTTAACACAGAAAATTTGTTACAGAGCATAAGACATGTGTTCACAACAAAAAACCATAATATTTGAGCATAAGCTAAAACCTTCATATCAGGAGTGTTCATCATGGTACTAGGAACAGAACCTCTTTCCCAGGAGTGTTTAACCTTCTATGTCTCAACTGATAACATGTCCGCAATGAGCACAGTATTCACCTAAACAACTATGAAATAAACACAAGTGAGGAAAACACAGCAATCTTTGACTAGCATAACACACACACAGATGCAGAGTCTGGCTGTGAACACTGCCAGAGAACTTAGTTGACACAGAACAAAACAGACACACACAAACATCCAATCAACCCACACACTTCACTTTTTCATCACACAATGGTATACCCTTTCACACGTGTTTGAAGTCAAAGTCAGTCACTGGAGTCAGTCAGCAGTCTTCTATTTTAATTCTTGTTTTGATTTCTTCCATTTTTTCCAATTTGTGTGATTCTTCTACAATTGGTCAGGAGATATGGGACGTGCTTGTTCAATTGGGATCCCTGAATAGGCTTTTCAGCCTATCCTTATTGACCTCTTTTTCTATCTCCTGCTCATCAAGCCAATCTGTATCTGTAATTTAAGTCCAATTATAACACTGATTTTGTGAGGTCTTTGACATATAAAAGAGATCTATATATATGTGCATTTCAAATATCTACTATTCCGTCATTATACTTATTCGGCCCTCTAGAGTTCTGGATCAGAATTTACGAGGAAATATGCCACTTTCGTTCTCCTTTTGGCTTTTTCTTAAGCCTCAGCGGAACTCTGCATGACAAATCCTCCTTTCTAGTGGAGTTTTCCAGAAAGAAAATCCACGTATGTATTACGAGATGAATCTGCTCGTCCATCGGCTGCCACCTTTCAGAGCTCATGAAAGATGGTCTTAAACTCACAGTTCAACAATGGACAGACACACTCGTGTCTGCCGCTCCCCTTGTTATCCCAAAAATTACCCAGAACCTTTTTATCTCCAGGCATTCAGCCTAAAAAAAAACACATCACAACCCGGGCCCGGCTGTCTCCCCAAGCTACTGGCCAGTGCTTTTCTGCACCCAGCCTATAGCTTCACATTTGACAATCTCACACTTATAGCAGTGTGGGGCGGTCTCACACTCTGAAGGAGACTAAGTGCTTCTGCACCCAGTCTATAGCTTCACATATGGCATCCCTCACATGCAGCAGCCTATAGCTCTACATGTGGCATCCCTCATATGCAGCAGCCTATAGCTCTACACGTGGCATTCCTCATATGCAGCAGCCTATAGCTCTACACGTGGCATTCCTCATATGCAGCAGCCTATTGCTCCTCATATGGCATTCATCACATGCAGCAGCCTATAGCTCCTCATATGGCATTCATCTCATGCAGTAGCCTATAGCTCCACATATGGCATTCATCACATGCAGCAGCCTACAGCTCCTCATATGGCATTCATCACATGCAGCAGCCTATAGCTCCTCATATGGCATTCATCACATGCAGCAGCCTATAGCTCCACATATGGCATTCATCACATGCAACAGCCTATAGCTCCTCATATGGCATTCATCTCATGCAGTAGCCTATAGCTCCACATATGGCATTCATCACATGCAGCAGCCTACAGCTCCTCATATGGCATTCATCACATGCAGCAGCCTATAGCTCCTCATATGGCATTCATCACATGCAGCAGCCTATAGCTCCTCATATGGCATTCATCACATGCAACAGCGTGAGGCAATTTCACACAGTCAACTGCAGTTTCTCTTAAATCAGCTGATATATATTCAATTTCAATTGGCTTCCTCACAAATTTAGCAGACTTTGATCAGCTGACTGCATGCATGCAGTTTTCTCAGACTGTCTTCATTCCCACTGTCTCCTCTTATTTCTATTCTAGGTTCTTTGATTCGAAGAGGACAGAGAACAGTAGTCCGCACCACCTCACAGGGAGAAGAACTCTCAACCAAATTTTAGGAAATCTCCTACCTTTTTCTTTTTGTGCGCACAGAGTGTCCTTATCCCATGTGAAGTTCGCAGAACCATGGTCCCTTGTCCCCCGAAACGAATTCTGGCTAAAGCTCGCCAATTATGTTGTGGAAAGTCCAACATAAACAATGCACAGGAGACATGATGAGATCTGAAGAACAGCCTGGGCGTCTTTAATAGTACAGATGTAGAAATCAGTACAGATGACAAACAGAGTCTCGACCAAGACCCAAGGAAGCCCCTCTAGCTTTACTTCTACTCTCTTTTATGCTGTGTGTGTGTGTGTGTGTGTGTGTGTGTGTGTGTGTGTGTGTGTGTGTGTGTGTGTGTGTGTGTGTGTGTGTGTGTGTATTCTCCAGAAGGCCCCTCATGATGACATGTCTGCCCCACGACACTTTGTTTAGGTTCGTCTTGACCCTGGCAGAGATTACATGTTCCAACAGACAGATAGTTTGGGCTCCTGCAAGACAGCCTTGCTTACAATCTCATGGTCGTGGGGCAGCAGGAGCAGGCCAACCTAGACTATTTGTAGCTTCTTACTAAAAGATAATTACTCTATATTTCTTAACCTAAATGTATGAAGACATTCCCCTACAATATACACACTGATATACACACTGATATACACACTAACATAGTACAGTGTGTATTTCTTCTCTACTTCTCTCCTGTTCGCTGTAACACCATGAACGTTAGCATTGTTAGCATTGTTAGCATTGTGGTTAGCCTTGTTAGCGTTGTTAGCATGTTGTTGGCATTGTTTGTGTTGTTAGCATTTTTGTTAGCATTGTTAGCGTTGTTAGCATAGTTAGCTTTGTAAGTGTTGTTACAGTTGTTAGCATTGTTAGCATTAGCTATGCTAATTACTGCGATTGTGCTGAGTCGTGGTTTTGTCTGAGGAGACCACCTGAAGGTCATAAGGTCAGACCTGACCGGACCGGTCTCTATGGAAACGCTCTCATTCAGGGTCAGCAGCAGTGTGTGTGTGTGTGTGTGTGTGTGTGGCTCTAACCTCTGATCGGTGGCGGCGGCGTCGGCGGCGTTGGCGGTGGCGAACACAGTGGCGTTCTTTGTTTGAGTGAGGAGCTGACGTACGTCTGCGGTCGGAGTTCTCCACCTCCATGAAAGAGGAGCTCTGTTCTCCTCCTGTCAGTCAGAAGGAGAAAGGAGAGAAGAGAAGGAGAGAAGAGAGAGGAGAGGAAAGGAGGAGAGAGGAGGAGGAGGAGAGAGGAGAGAGAGAGAGGAGAGAAGAGAGGAGAGAGAGGAGAAAGAGAGAGGAGAAGAAAGGAGGAGAGAGGAGAGGAGAGAAGAAAAGGAGAGGAAAGGAGGAGAGAGGAGGAGGAGGAGAGAGGAGAGAGAGAGAGGAGAGAAGAGAGGAGAGAGAGGAGAAAGAGAGAGGAGAAGAGAGAGGAGAGAGGAGAGAGAGAGAGGAGGAGAGTGGAGAGAGGAGAGGAGAGAAGGAAAGGTGAGGAGGAGAGAGGACAGTAGGAGAGGAGGAGAGAGGAGAGAGAGAGAGAGAGAGAGAGGAGAGAGGAGAGGAGAGAAGGAAAGGTGAGGAGGAGAGAGGACAGTAGGAGAGGAGGAGAGAGGAGAGAGGAGAGAAGAGAGAGAGAGGAGGAGAGAGGAGAGGAGAGAAGGAAAGGTGAGGAGGAGAGAGGACAGTAGGAGAGGAGGAGAGAGGAGAGGAGAGAAGGAAAGGTGAGGAGGAGAGAGGAGAGGAGAGAAGGAAAGGTGAGGAGGAGAGAGGAGAGGAGAGAAGGAAAGGTAAGGAGGAGAGAGGACAGTAAGAGAGGAGGAGAGAGGAGAGGAGAGAAGGAAAGGTGAGGAGGAGAGAGGAGAGGAGAGAAGGAAAGGTGAGGAGGAGAGAGGAGAGGAGAGAAGGAAAGGTAAGGAGGAGAGAGGACAGTAGGAGAGGAGGAGAGAGGAGAGGAGAGAAGGAAAGGTGAGGAGGAGAGAGGAGAGGAGAGGAGAGAGGAGGTAAGTCTGAATCTCTTGGTCCAGTTCATGTTTTTTCAGGTTTATTGATTATTGATGTTTTTATTGATTTCTTTTAGCAGAGAAAGAAAAATGGCGGCAAACAGAAAACCAAGGAGCTCGCCACCCGCCGCTCCCCAGGGACGCCACAGACCCCCCCCCCTCAGTCTGAATCAGGTCAGACCTGAGGACTAAAGAAGACCGGGTCTGAGCGAGGACCTGAGACACACACACACACAGACACACACATACACACACAGACACACACACAGACACACACACACAGACACACTCTCTCATCTGAGCTGCAGATGTCTGTGTGTGTGTGTGTGTAGCTGCTCTCTGATTCTGAAGGCCTCCTCCATAATTCGTCTTTTTTCCCGTCAGCAGCGCAGAGACTCCGCCAAAGCTCGCCGTTTGATGAGAGCGGCGGCCTTGGCCGCATACTGCCGACGCCGCCGTGTTTGATGATGGCGAGCGAACTCTGGGGCGGGGGGGCTGAGGTTCATCCTCGCCGGCGCAACATCAAACAGCTACGAGCGAAAAGGAGGTGAACCCTGAGGGACGCCTCCGGCACCGAGGGAGGAGAGGGAGGAGAGGGAGGAGCAGACCTGAGGGAGGCGGGGGAGGGGGTAAAGAAAACGAGGTTCAGGTTCAGGTTCAGGATCCTGCAGGTTCAGGTTCAGGTTCAGGATCCTGCAGGTTCAGGTTCAGGTTCAGGATCCTGCAGGTTCAGGTTCAGGTCTTGTTTGGGTGTTGATGGTTCAGGATCTGAGCAGCTCAGGTAGATTTTTCAGGGACCAGGATTCATGTGGTCTGAGTGTCGAGGAGGAGAAGAAGGAGGAGGAGGTGCAGGGTGCGGGGGTCTGTGAGGAGGTCCCAGACTCTTAGGGACTTAACCTCCCATCATCCTTTGCTCCAGGGGGATCAGCTCAGACCGTCTTCAGTGAAGCTGCTGTCTGCTGAGAGGACTCTGGATCATATAGATCTATGATAGATGTCCGCTCAGGGTCTGATGTCCTCTCCCTCTCTCTCTCTCTCTCTCTCTCTCTCTCTCTCTCTCTCTCTCTCTCTCTCTCTCTCTCTCTCTCTCTCTCTCTCTCTCTCTCTCTCTCTCTCTCTCTCTCTCTCTCTCTCTCTCGCCCGTCCGTCTGTCCAGAAGCCCCGCCCTCTTCAGGTCTTATTTCCTGCTGTACTGGGCGGGTCACAGCTGTCCATCACTCTCTCTTCGGGTTCCTCCGAACACTTTTACGGCCTTTAAATTAGGTCACCGCCGCCGCGCCTCGTGTCACGCGCCTCCAGATGTTGTCGGCTGCTTTCTCCCATGATGCCGCAGTAAATCTGTCCTTTACAGAGACGGCGGCGAGCGGGGACAACCACGGCTCACCTGCCGCCATCTGTCGGCCCCGGCAGAGTCCACGGGCGGAGGCGGTCTTTATGTGGTGGGCTGTGTGGAGAACGAACACATGACATAAAAACAAAAGGGGAAGAAACACGCCGAAAAAAACACGCCAAAAAACACGCCAAAAAAAACACGCCAAAAAAAAACACGCCAAAAAAAACACGCCAAGAAAACACGCCAAAAAACACGCCAAGAAAACACGCCAAAAAAAACACGCCAAAAAAAACACGCCAAAAAAAACACGCCAAAAAAAACACGCCAAGAAAACACGCCAAAAAAAACACGCCAAGAAAACACGCCAAAAAACACGCCAAGAAAACACGCCAAAAAAAACACGCCAAAAAAAAAACACGCCAAAAAAAACACGCCAAAAAAAAACACGCCAAAAAAAAAACACATATAAAAACCATGAAATATGTAAGAAATGTAAAAAAAAAAAAGAAACACAAAAAAAAACCCGGTCAGAGACATGTTAGAAACCCGTCAGAAGATCCCGTCGTCTGTCTCTCCTTCTTCGGCGACTTTAACAGTTTTTTACTTCGTTTGATATTTAGATGAAAAAACGAGTTAAAATTACAAACAAAACGAACTTGAACTCAGTAAAAATAAAATCCAGTAAATTCAGTAAAACTCGGTAAACTCAGAGGAATCAGTGGAATCAGGTCCTGATCCAAAAGGACTCGGGTTTGGGTCGGGGGGGACAGCTGGTCCTGGACTCTGTGTTCTGCCCGGTTTGTGCCTCCTCCAGAACCGGGTTATAAAAATCCTCTCCCTCCTGAATTCCTCCGCGGCTGACTCTGGATCTTGACCTGAACGCTCTCCGGACACAAATCCACCGACTTGTGTTCTTGGTTGGAGGCGGGTTCAAAGGTCACCCTCCGCCTCAGCACGCACCGCGAGCTGCAGCTCTGCTGCGCCGCGGCGTCCAGAGCTTTTTTGGCAGCGGATTTAATGTACCTCCACAACTGAGTGGGTCAAAATACCAACACGTGTTCCAGCCACGCCGCCACGGGGGGGGGTGTCCAAATTTAGCAGATCAGCTGATCGGCTCAGCCCACGTGTTTCATAAACTCATCAAAGTATCTTCTCTGCAGAGGAGATGTCTACTCCTCCAAAGTGAGAGAGGACTCTTCAGAGTCAGTGCAGACCCGGTCTGACCCTCAGAGACCTGGTCCAACCCTCAGAGACCTGGTCTGACCCTCAGAGACCCGGTCTGACCCTCAGAGACCTGGTCCGACCCTCAGAGACCGGATCACTAAAACTGAGATCTCTGTTCAGGAGGAGGAGGAGGATCAGACTCAAACTTCATCAAACCCACAATTAAAAGCTTTTATTGCAGCGGGGTAACTTCCCCTCGCCGTCCAAACTGTAAATCAAGGTCAAAACCAGGATAGAAACACGTAAAAAAAACAGGTTAAAAACACGATAAAAACGTGTTAAAAAGACGTTCAAACCACTTTAGAAAGACGTCAGAAACTCTGTATTTCTGCGTGTTTCTGTGTAAAGTTCTGTTGGTGTTCAGGTCCGTTTTTGTTTCTCGTTGACTTTGTTGGTTCTGAATCTTCTGTCTCTTTTATTTTACTTCCTCTTTGCTCCATAAACTGAAGCTGAGGTTGTCCTGAAAACAAAGACGTGTTTTTATCTGCCGTTCTTAAAAGGATCGAGGTGAAACATGAAAACATGAATCTGGGAGTGAAAGGGTTAATGGACCTTCTGATGTAAATAAACATGAACCTGAAGGAGCGTTCGACTCACTTCAAGGTCCTGCAGAAACTCCGCGTACTGAACCTTTATTCAGAGATAACAACGCTCATCTGTTTCCTGTTTCCTCTCCTACATGTCTCCGCCCCCTCTGCGGCGCTCCTGGATGTGATTCTGAGGGAGCGGGTGGGTCTGAGGACAGAACGGCGGGCTCCTGAGGCCTCTCCTGCTCGGCTGGCATCATCATCATCCAGCCGTCAAATCCTGAAATAAATCAAAACAGAAGATTTTCCTCCATTTTCAATTTCCTTTCAGAGTCGCAGCGAAAATATCAAACCAGATGTTTCCGCCGCCGCCGCCGTCCTGAAGATGCGTTTCAGCTGTTGGTCTGTGTCTGCGCCTGTTTCTGGAAGAAAGCAGCTGAGAGCGGCGGAGACGTCCCCCCATCCTCCCCCCGCCGTCCCCCCCGCCGGCCTCAGGACCAGTCTGTTTCACATTGATAGAGCGCCACAGGACGCCCCCGGCCATCCAGCGCTCAGCCTGTTTTTCCTTCGCCATATCCTGCCGCCACATCTCTGCCTCTCCAGAGCGCCTCCAACTAAAGCGGGCGGGTCAAAGCAATCGCACACAAACCCCTCCCCCCCCCCGCTCTCTAATTGGAGGTGCTCAGGTTAAAGAATGTCCCGGTTATCGCAGAGCCGGCAGACAAACTCAATTCAGACGGTAATTCGGCTGATGAGTGACTCGCATGTTCAAATCCTGAGTGTGCGTGTTTACACCGCCGCCGCCACCGCCATTATCTCGCTCACGCACGTTCAAAGACACTGCTGAATGAAGTCCGAGTCCGGTCCAAATGGACTTTTTCATACATGTATGTGAGCTCAGACACGGACACGGTGTTTGTTAGAAACACGCTAAACACTTTAAAAAACCTGTTAAAAAACCTGCGAGAAACACGTTAGAAACACGTTAGAAACACGTTAGAAACACGTTAAGAAACACGTTAGAAACACGTTAGAAACACATTAGAAACACGTTAGAAACGGGTTAGAAACACGTCAATAAACACGTTAGAAACACGTTAGAAACACGTTAGAAACGGGTTAGAAACACGTCAATAAACACGTTAGAAACACGTTAGAAACACGTTAAGAAACATGTTAGAAACACGTCAAGAAACACGCTAGAAACACGTTAAGAAACACGTCAATAAACACGTTAGAAACACGTCAAGAAACACGTTAGAAACACATTAGAAACACATACGAAACACGTTAGAAACACGTCAATAAACACGTTAGAAACACGCTAGAAACACGTTAGAAACACGTTAGAAACACGTTAGAAACACGTCAAGAAACATGTTAGAAACACGCTAGAAACACGTTAGAAACACGTAAAGAAACACATTAGAAACACGTTAGAAACACGTCAATAAACACGTTAGAAACACGCTAGAAACACGTTAGAAACACGTTAGAAACACGTTAGAAACACGTCAAGAAACATGTTAGAAACACGCTAGAAACACGTTAGAAACACGTTAGAAACACGTCAATAAACACGTTAGAGACACGTTAGAAACACGTCAAGAAACACGTTAGAAACACGTCAAGAAAAACGTTAGAAACACGTTAGAAACACGTTAGAAACACGTAAAGAAACACGTTAGAAACACGTTAGAAACACGTCAAGAAACACGCTAGAAACACGTCAAGAAACACGTTAGAAACACGTTAGAAACACGTCAAGAAACACGTTAGAAACACGTCAAGAAAAACGTTAGAAACACGTTAGAAACACGTTAGAGACACGTTAGAAACACGTCAAGAAACACGTTAGAAACACGTCAAGAAAAACGTTAGAAACACGTTAGAAACACGTTAGAAACACGTAAAGAAACACGTTAGAAACACGTTAGAAACACGTCAAGAAACACGCTAGAAACACGTCAAGAAACACGTTAGAAACACGTTAGAAACACGTTAGAAACACGTAAAGAAACACGTTAGAAACACGTTAGAAACACGTTAGAAACACGTAAAGAAACACGTTAGAAACACGTTAGAAACACGTCAAGAAACACGCTAGAAACACGTCAAGAAACACGTTAGAAACACGTTAGAAACACGTTAGAAACACGTTAGAAACACGTTAGAAACACGTTAGAAACACGTTAGAAACACGTTAGAAACACGTCAAGAAACACGCTAGAAACACGTCAAGAAACACGTTAGAAACACGTTAGAAACACGTTAGAAACACATTAAAACAACACGCTATAAACGTGTTAAAAACACGTTAAAAACGTTTTTTACATGTTAGAAACATGTGAACTGAGCGCGCTCTGTGGAATTTTATACCATCCTAAAATCTCAGAGGGTCTCTCCTTATATGTGTGTGTGTGTGTGTGTGTGTGTGGGGGGGGGGGTCTCTCCTTATATGTGTGTGTGTGGGGTGGACTTTATCAGGTTTCTCTTTCGTCTGATTTTTAGATTTTATTGACGAGTTTAAGGGACAAAAACGAAGTTTAAAAAACTGTAAAAATATAAGTTCAGCTCGACTGTGTTTAATTTTCGGTGAGTGTGGTCCCCTCGCCGTCCTCTTGGTCGTGGTGGTCGCGGTCTCTCCTCGGATGAAGAGCCAGTCTGTTCCTGGATCTGGTCTCTGTTCACTCTCAGGCAGCTGCAGATTCAATAAACAGCAGACCCGCTCCAGGCCCGGTTTGATCCCGAACAGAGCCTGAGAGGGGCCGGCCCAAACAAACAGGAAGTCCACGGCGCACGGCGGGTCCTGCACCTGCTTAGTGTTAGACCGGGTCCAGGTCAGGCAGTCAGACGGGGTCTGAGTCTGCAAGAACACAAACCTGAACCAGAGTCCGATTCAGATCCGGTCTTTCTTTTGACCCTGCTGTCTGCTGTGGTGGATCCTTCAGGACCTCTGTGTGTCAGTCCACCTCAGACCGGACCTGGACCGACCCAGTCCGCTGCTTCTGATAGAAGGTCTCTGATTGGTCCAGAGTCCTCAGAGTCCTGAAACCCTCTCAAAGACCTCCCTCCTTCTCCTCAGGACCCTCGGAGCTGAGGAGACCCTCGCTGTTTAAAGTCCAATTAGTCCTGTCCTCGTTAGCATGACAGGATGTCAAACAAGCACTTCCTGTTAACGGCCTCTTATCTTAATGGGTCTGGTCTCAGAGGAGGTCCGGGTCTGAGCTGACTCTGGTCTGCTTCATGTCTGTTTAAACGGGAGCACAGAGTCCGGAGCGAGACCAGGAACGCTGAGGGGGGGACAGGGAACCGTCAGGACTCTGAGACTCTCAGGACCGTTCAGGCGTCTTTACTGCGCAAAATAAAAAAATATAAAAACAGAGGGACATTTAAGGATCAATAAATAAATAAATACATAAAAAAATAAAAAAATATAAAAACTGAAGGGACATTTCAGGATCAATAAATAAATAAAAATGAATAAATAAAAAAATATAAAAACTGAAGGGACATTTAAGGATCAATAAATAAATCAATCAATAAATAAAAATGAATAAATAAAAAAATATAAAAACTGAAGGGACATTTAAAGGATCAATAAATAAATAAATAAATGAATCAAAATGAAAAATAAATAAATAAATTAAAAATATATAAAAACAGAGGGACATTTAAGGATCAATAAATAATTAAATAAATAAAAATAAAATAATTAATAATAAATAAATAAATAATCAAATAAAAATAAATAAATAAAAAATATATAAAAACAGAGGGACATCTAAAGGATCAAGAAACGAATAAATAGATAAATAAAAATGAAAAAATGAAAAAATAAATTTAAATAAATTAATTAATAATAAATAAATAAATAAAAAATATATAAAAACAGAGGGACATTTAAGGATCAAAAACAAACAAATAAATAAATAAAAATGAAAAAATAAATAAATAAATTTTTTAAAATAAATAAATTAATAATAAATAAATAAAAATTAAGATTAATAAATTAGTAATAAATAAATAAATAAAAATGAAAAAATAAATAAATAAATTCTTTAAAACAAACAAATTAATAATAAATAAATAAAAATTAAAATAAATAAATTAGTAATAAATAAATAAATAAATAAATAAAAATAAAATAATAATAAATAAAAGGTAACTATCTCTCAGGACTCTCAGGACCGTCCAGGCGTCTTTTCTGGACTCCCTCTCCGGGCTGATCCAGAACCCTCTTCTCTTTGGTTCTTCAGGTTTCTGGTTTTCGCTCCGAGGTCGGGGACTCTTGTCTCGCTGAGCTCGGAGGTCTTTGGCTCTGTCCCTGTTCGTCTATTACCTACTGTCACTCAGAGGTCCAGCCCCCCTCCCTTGTTGGTGGTTCTTGACGGGTCCAGAGAGCGGCCCTCTTAATAAAGTCCAAATGTAATCTCCCTCTAACCCCGATGAGACGGCGTGGCTCCCCCGCTCTCCCATAATGCACTATTCATGCTTTTTATTAATCTCTTTCTCCTGCAGCCATTTTTCAAATCACTCCTTTTGTTTACTCATGAATATTTTTTCATGGGGGGAGAGAGAGAGGGGGAGAGAGGGGGAGGAGGGAGGGGGGGAGAGAGAGAGGGGGAGAGAGGGGGGAGAGAGAGGGGGGAAGGAGAGAGAGGGGGGGAGAGAGAGGGAGGGGGGAGAGAGAGAGAGAATGGGGAGAGAGAGGGGGGGAGAGAGAGGGGAGAAAGAACGAGAGGGAGAGAGAGGGGGGAGAGAGAGGGGAGAGAGGGGGGGAGGAGAGAGAGAGGGGGGAGAGAGAGGGGAGAGAGGGAGGGAGGGAGAGAGAGGCTGGGGGGAGAGAGAGGGGGAGAGAGGGGAGAGGGGGGAGAGGGAGAGGGGAGAGAGAGAGAGAGAGAGAGAGGGAGAGAGAGAGAGAGAGAGGGAGAGAGAGGGAGAGAGAGAGAGAGAGAGAGAGAGAGAGAGAGAGAGAGAGAGAGAGAGAGAAGGGGAGAGGGAGAGAGAGAGAGGAGGAGAGAGAGGGGGGAGACCATCAGCCAGGTGACAGGAACAGCCCGCTGGCGTTTCATTGGCGGTAATTTGTGGCGGGAAAGTCTAACCTTAAAGGTGTTTCAGAGACCGCCCCCCCAGTCCTCAGAAGGACCTCAGTAACCTCCGATGAAGACCCCACACCCCCTGGGGACGGCTCGGCTCGGTAATTGGTGGTCATGGCCCGCGGTTTTTATGAGTCATCGTTGGTCGTTGGTGGTCACATGGTCACGTTTAGGGGGGTGGAGATGAAGCTGAGTCTGTGCAGGTCTAAGTTCCTGTAGGTTTTAGTTCCTGTAGATTTTGGTTCCTGTAGATTTTAGTTCCTGTAGTTCTTGGTTCCTGAAGGTCTAAGTTCCTGTAGGTCTAAGTTCCTGTAGGTCTAAGTTCCTGTAGGTTTTAGTTCCTGTAGGTTTTAGTTCCTGTAGTTCTTGGTTCCTGTAGGTCTAAGTTCCTGTAGGTTTTAGTTCCTGTAGGTTTTAGTTCCTGTAGGTTTTAGTTCCTGTAGTTCTTGGTTCCTGTAGGTTTTAGTTCCTGTAGGTTTTAGTTCCTGTAGTTTTGGTTCCTGTAGGTTTTAGTTCCTGTAGGTTTTAGTTCCTGTAGTTCTTGGTTCCTGTAGGTTTTAGTTCCTGTAGATTTTGGTTCCTGTAGGTCTAAGTTCCTGTAGGTTTTAGTTCCTGTTGGTTTTAGTTCCTGTAGGTTTTAGTTCCTGTAGTTCTTGGTTCCTGTAGTTCTTGGTTCCTGTAGGTCTAAGTTCCTGTAGGTTTTAGTTCCTGTAGTTCTTGGTTCCTGTAGGTTTTAGTTCCCGTAGTTCTTGGTTCCTGTAGTTCTTGGTTCCTGTAGGTTTTAGTTCCTGTAGGTTTTAGTTCCTGTAGGTTTTAGTTCCCGTAGTTCTTGGTTCCCGTAGTTCTTGGTTCCTGTAGTTCTTGGTTCCTGTAGGTTTTAGTTCCTGTAGGTTTTAGTTCCTGTAGGTCTTGGTTCCTGTAGGTTTTAGTTCCTGTTTCTGATCCTCATCAGTCGTCCACAAAAGGAGGTACCGAGCATTAGACTAATCTGTCACCCATTTCCATCCCTGCTCATATTTTCAGCTCCAGAGTGGGGGGGGGGGTGAGGAGGGGTGAGGCGGGGGGGAGGAGTGTGTGTGTGTGTGTGTGTGTGTGTGTGTGTGTGTGTGTGTGTGTGTGTGTGTGTGTGTGTGTGTGTGTGTGTGTGTGTGTGTGTGTGTGTGTGTGTGTGTAATGAAAGCGCTCTAAATGACAGTGGGTTGACAGTGGGATCGGCTGGTAAATGACTGCGGAGAGGTTCGCCTGCAGAGAGGGATGGAGGAGGCTCCCAGTAGGCCTGATTAATTCCTCTCTTGGCGGCTGCCGTGGGGGGAGGCGAGGGGGAGAGAGCGGGAGAGAGAGAGAGAGAGCGAGGGGAAAGAGAGAGCGGGGTTAGCGGCGTGCTGGAAGAGGAGCCTATTACCAACAGCGGCGCTGAAACTGATATAATCAGCTACACTGCGACCCGGCCTTCCTCCCTCACACAAACTTTTCCAGGGCTCGTCCCCGTTGGTTCCACTCTTAGGGGACTTAAAGATGGTGGCGGTGGTGGCGGTGGCGGCGGCGGCGGGGAGGGGTGAGGTGAGGGAGGGTGTTCAGTTTGGGTGAGGAGTACGAAGGATTGTCTTTTTTCTGAGATGGTTAGGGAGCTTTGTAAGAAATCCTCTCTGCCGCTCCGTCTCCTCCTCCTCGCTATCTCGCTCCCCCACGCCTCGCTCTACGCTTTGATAGTGACAGACCCTCCCGTGTGGCGGCGGCGGCGGCGGCTTTAAGTCCAGTGAGATATGAATACGTGGCAGCTCTTAATCCTCTCAGACTGAGCCGATACGGAGTGTTTATCTGATGAGAGGGTCTTCCTCTGACGTGTGCTCACCTGTGGTTTCAGGTACGCCTCCTGAGCGGGTCACATGACCAACAGGTGTGTTTGTAGGTCTGA